AATGGTGAAGTACAACATTAGTTCACATTGATTTAGTTAATATTTTCAAAAGGAAACAAATACTTTACAATCAAAAAACTAATTCTTTTAAAGACTTGATATAAACTACTTTCATCAACATAACAAATAATGCTAGAACCGAATTTAAAAAACGAAAAACTGTTGTCTAGTTGTCATCAATTAATTTCTTACATAGGGCTAGAGTGCATACTACCGCTTAACTTGATAGATGCGGTAACGGTCAAATGACGTGCAATTTAAATAACGATCGTCATTTTTAAAAACATTTAAAATTCTTAATTCAAATAGAAGTAGCGGCAACTCTTAATTTTATTGAATTAACGTCTTTTATTGCCCCAACTTTTATTACTGAAATTAATTAACCCGTTGATGATTTTACAACCGCAAAATGCCGGCTAGTTTTATTAGCTAAATTGATAAGCGTTAAATTTAATTTTGATAAAAATTGGATGCATTAATAAACAAATATTTTTATCTATTTATTTAGTAGTATCATAGTATATTTGGATGTTTCTCTCTTTGATTTTTCTATCATATATTACTATTAATCTTTACTATGCTACAAAAATATTGTTACTGTTATAACTTAGTTTACCAATAACAAATGTAGCCACATATTTCCGTACTCTTGTTTCGACAACGTCAAAATTAGAACTACAAATAGAGTATAAATAATCCCCTTAAGTAAAAAATTACACAAAAGTCTTGAGACGTACCTTTATACTTTAAATCGAACCCAATTTCACAGCTCACATCGCCTGTCAAATGCGACATAAAGCCGAGAATGTGATCCGTATTATGATGAGAATTCAAACTCGCCCTATTTATATCAATGATAATTTATTTATTGTCACACTAAAAAGTTTTGATTTTATCTACCGATGATGCGATGAAAGAATTGTCACCTACCTCTCGTCTTTATCGTGATGCCAAAAGTCACGGAGATATTCTTGGTGATGCAATATAAGCTTTATATGTCAAGAAATTAAGTGTATTTTTCAATAAATGACAATGAGCTTCGTGCAAGATGATAAGCAGCTTATTGAAGCGATCGCACGTTCGCACGTTTTGAGGTTAGAGTCGAGGTTTCGAGTTACGAGACGGTGGCAGCTCTTAACGGGGTAATACAGCCGATCAACTAACTCTGTGAAGAATGTTTATAAATAAGAAGATTAATGGAATTTTACCCAGTTTTATGTGTTCAAAATAATTAAAGATAAAAGTTTTTACTAAAGGGTATTGACAGGATAATAATAATCCTGTCTACAAAGAAAACTATGTAATTCGCGTTACTTAGCAATAATATTAATTTATTTTTAGTAAAAAAAAGAAGATACACGAATAAAACATTCATATAACCTTAAAAATACCGAAAGGTAAAGTATTTTTTACAAGAATTTCATATTTTTAACCGTTGTCACTTAAGGTACAATGTTCCGTCGACACGTCAAGACGTAGGTTGCGATATCGGCGTTAAAACTTGCTTATCAGAACAATCTTTGATTAGGTATTTAAAACACGATGCGACTGGTTGATAGTAGATATTTTGACCCGATGTATTTTAAAGATCAAAAAGTTATCTTCCCTCGGACTTGTTATACCGATAAGACGGAATACTTCTCATATATTTTTAACTGTTATATAAATCATAGTTTACAAAAATTATAGGCTTAACTTAGATGGAAATGCAACCGAAAAAGTTATAGATTTATCATTCGCAATAAACTTAACTGCATTTAAGTCCTAGTTACATTTTAAAAACATATTAAGCTCAAATCAGAGCTGTCAATTTTTACATTTCAGGGTCCAAGTGTCCATATTGTAACTTTTAAATTAAACTCAGTTAATCGATTCGAACGTACAATCGCCGCGACGTCATTACTCGCAGATTAATTACATTGTTAAATTGTAAGCGAGGAGGTTTTGTATGACGTTTAATTGCTATAAATGTTGTATTTTTCACATTCCCAGTAAGTGGGTTTTTTTTTTCAAATTACAAAGCGATGAGGTCCGCATTTACGGTTGCATGTAGACGGTTAATTGCCGACAGCGGATGTACAAACTAGTAATTGGGAGGTTAAATCATAAGATAAGGTGTACGGTTAAGAAAGATTATAACAAAGCGTCTTTTGTTTGATTTATTCTGTCTACGAATTAATGTTTAAACAAAATTTGTGCCTATATCTTGAACTTGTCTTAGTATCAGATTTATATCGGTGTAAACAGATCGCTTTAAGCCAAACCCAGCTTATAATAATCTACCAAGATACAAGCTTATAAAGAAGGTAATAGCATTATTTTTACCATCTCATCATCATCTATACGTTATAATATAAAAAAATGTTAATATCGTTTACATCTATTTTATATAAGCTACAGGATGTCACAAAACATTTAGACATATACTATTATTTATAAAATAGTGCGCTCATAAACTACAAAAGGCATTTTAAAATCGTTAACTTATTAAAAATTAAAATCAACCTAACTTGACAATTGACAAAAAGCTGATTATGACGTCAGTTTTTTTCTTCTCTCCCTCGGGCATACCTTTCAGCGAGGATTAATTTGGCCCGTTTTATAAAGGCTTACTTATCTCGGGCCAGAGTGTTAGAACGGGTTGTATTTATCGCGTCCATTATACGTTTTATTATTTAATTTATTTAACGCCACGGATTTATCGGCTTGTCTATTAATTCGAGACGGGGAAACGAGATCAGAATTCAAACACTGCCTCTTAAATATGTTTTTAAAATGTTCATTTAAATTTAGAATAATTTATTAAGCTTCGTACACATTATAGCTATTGTAAATTAGTAAAAAAAATGTAAAATGACTTTGTTTTTAAATTGTTTTTAAGTTCATTAATCTTTTGATCGCAGCTCTTTAGTTGTATACGGAATTGATATATTTAAAATAAAACATACATTTTCATAATACTTTTAAAAATAAATCAAGACTAACACGTGATAAAGCGCAATATTGCTAAACCTTTCAGAAATTTTTCAAAATATTTGTGTATGAATTAAACGCATCCTTAAGCATACTAAACATGTATCATGTAAATTAAATCATGATAAGAGCATTTGTCTAAGATATTATAATTAGTTCCCAGCGTGAATTAATTTAGGAAAAGAATGAATTATAATTACCCTGACTACGTTGGGCAACACAAAAATTAATAAATTAAAATTATATGCCTTGCTTTTTACCACGGCCATAGATTAATGAGTCGACGTCGTCGTCCGACATTTTTTTTAAACGCTAAGCAAACTTGTTTTCTTAAAGTGGCGTTGCGCTTCTTATCTCTTGAATAATAACATTTATTCACTTATCTGTACGCTGGTATAATTCAGGTAAATATAATATATAGAGGCTTTTTGTTGAATATAACTGAAATTATCTTGTAATCCGGCCATTGTTTAAATTTATAAGTTACATTAAATATTATTTATATTTCATATCATATATAAAATGCCTTATAGATTTATTTATAGCGACAAAATCTTTATTATTAAGTGTAACGATATCAGAGTGGCTGAAGATTCGAAACCGGCCATTCAAACATAGTCAAGAAACATATCCTAGTTCTACTTGTATTTCCTGTTCCATTCCCACTAATCTTCTTCTTTATAATAAACAATAAATATTACTAAATTAACTAAAATCTATTACATCTTTTACATTATTTAAGAAAAGAAATAAAAAGAAACATTTTGGATCAGTTAAATGTAATATTTTTATTACTAAATCAATTTATTCGGCAATATTTTAATGAACATAAAGAATTAAATCCATTTTCGGACACTTAACAACGGACATACAAATTATATAAAAAATATTTAAAAAAAAAATCAAAAGATATCAAAGGTAATAATCATATTAAAGTCGATTTGAAACAATCTTTATATGTTGACAAAAGTCATTCATGCTTGACCTAAACAAGGTCAAAATTTACAATATGTTTTTATACAAACAGGTTTGGAGAATGCATTATCATTCGCATTTAATAAACTTATAAATATAAATGCAACTAATATTTGTTTTATTATGTTATAATCATATAATTTGTGCAGAACTACAATCTTACTAATATTATATATGTGAAAGTTTGGATGTTTGTTGGAAGCTACCTCTAAAACGAATAAACTTTTGGAATAGATGTAAGAATAAGAGAATAAGAATTCACGAGGACGGAGTCGCGGACGACAGCTAGTATTTCATATTTCACTGAATGTAATAAAAAACATAATAACATCTATTATAGGAGTAGTCCTTTGAGGAAAGATTACGCGCTTTTCCCGTAAACCTTTCATATTTCATAGTGTGGAAATACCCAAATTTTCCTAGTGATTGGAATGAATTTAACTAAATTAATTTGTGTTTTTAAATTTATTACTGCAATACTTTGTTATCATATAAATATTTTACTATTAACATTATTTGATAATTAAACCACATTCTGTTACTTTATGTAGGTAATATAATAATATAATTATTTAGTTAATAATTCTATAACAACATTTTAACACGTTTAGGTGAGCGATATGTGTTAAAACATTTAACAAGGACATCCTTGTCGTACATGTCAGATGTCGTTGTGCATCGTTGAAGTCTTTTCTAAGAAAGCGGCACACACCAACAAAAGATCTTTGTTTCATTAATAGAAATTCACTTTTTAATGCAATGTAATACAACGAGAGTTTAATTTTATATCTCTTTACAAATTGAACTTCTTAGTATATATGGTTAGGAATAGTCTAAGCTTGAAAAACTTTTTGGCTAACAAAAGCTTTTAAAACAATAATGTTTCAAGAATAGGTTTTTAAATTTAATAAACCTAATAAGAACTCCAATAATCTTACATGTGCTATTTGACACAGGGCTTTTTCGTATTTCTGATTGTAAAATAATAATTTCAATTTAAACCTTAATAAGGCTTAATTGTCTGAGAATAACAAACTTATAAAAGTTGTCACCTGGGGAATCAGTAGCTGACCGATCCGAGTCGGAGTCCCTGTGCGCGCTAAGGTCCCGCGGCGCGGCATCGAGGATGTCCGTGATCATGAACCTGGTCCGCGGCGCGCGCGCGTCGCGCTCGTCGCGCTGCACCGTCATCGCCAGGGCGCCGCGCGGGCCCGCCGCCCCAGCGCCTGCGCCACCCCCTACCGCATCCAGCGCACGCGCGCGCAACACCTCGCTCGCGCCCAGCTCGACGGCGACCGGTCTGCGCCGTCACCGCACTCGACACATCACCCTGTTGCCCAGAGAGATCCCACCGCCGACACGATCCTCGCTGGCAGAATTGTCCGACAGGCTAACCACTTTTCGGAGCTGGAAGATCAGATCGGACAGACGAGCACTCGATCACCAAAGTTCACACACTGTCAGTTCACGCGGCACGGTCGGGAAAATCGTGTAGCACGGGCAGCTCGCGCGGTCGTCA